GGGAGCTCTGGTCCTCAATTTGAGCATCACTTTCTGGCTCCAGAGAGAAAGATGATACACTGCTGTCTCCTGGAGAAGCTTGTGGCGTTGGCTTTCCTGATGGGAACTTTTCAGCTCTAGTTCAGATCCCTCAGCTTGCTAGCACAGACCCTTCATCCCGCTGGTACACTGTGTAACTTCTACCACTGACCTTGGGCCTTCCCAGTGCAGACCTGTGAAACAGGCCTGCATGAGACACTGTTGCGGGCTCTAGGCCTCCAGTGGGACTGGCAGGAGGCATTATGATGGGTGCCAGGTCTCCAGATTAACTCATGCAGAACATTATGGTGGGACCCAGACCCTCAGCTGCATTCTTTGGTCTTTATTGTGTGGACAAACTTCCTGCACTCTTTGTATATGATTCTTCAGGTAATTCATTATAATCTTATATTTAGGTGTCCTGTATTTTATTGTTCCCCTTATAAAACCCCGAACCATGATACCAGGTGTCACCAGACCCCTCCTACAGGGCTCTAGGAGGGACCCCTTGCCTTCCTCTTCTGCTTCAGGGGCTTTTTCAGTTCCCTGGCTTTGACCGGACCACTCCAACTTCATCCTCTGTCACTACACGGCACTCTCCTCTATCTGTGTCTCTCCAAAGGACCTCTGTAATTAGACTTAGAGACCACATCGCCTTTTTTCAAATAAATCACATTCAGGGTTCTAGAGGGTACAACATAGAGATTCACTGTCCAAGCAACCCTACATCCCAAAGACTGAGTGAATCATTCACAATAAAACCAAAAAGAATTGGAACAGAGGCTCCTACACCCATGTGCAGAGCAGCACCGTTCGACATAGCCGAAAGGTGGAAGCAACCCAGTGCTCAATGACCTCTGAATGGATAAGCAAAATGGCATGGGCTATACATATGAAGGACAAGTATTCACCCTTGAAAGGGACAACAGTTCTGACACCCGCCACAGCATGGGTGAACCCTGAATACATGACGCTAAAACAAGCCAAAGTATGATTCCAGTCACAGGGGATACCTAGAGCAGAGAAATTCAGACAGAGGATGGCCAAGTGTCAGTGTCAGGGGAAGGGGCATGGCCTATCACTGCGGAGTAGATGCAGAGCTTCCATTTTTCAAAATGAAAAAAAACAGAACCTGACTCAAAAAGCAAAAGCAAAAAAATGAACTCTGGAACTGGCTGCACAGTCACGTGAATGAACTAAACACTCCTATATTATACTGTATACTTACAAGTGGTCGAGATGATAATTTTTCACAAGTTAGAAATTTTTTTAAGCTAGGGAGACAGCTCAACAGCATAAGCACCTGCCCAGCAAGTGCAAGGTCCTGAGTTCAATCCCTGGTACCAAAACAAAAGGAAATTTTTTTTAAACACCATGATCAGTGTGGTGTTGTACACCTGTAATCCCAGCAGTTGGGATGCTGAGGCAGGAGGGTTACTGAGAATTTGAGGCCACCTGGGCTACAACATAAGTTCAAAGCCAGCCTCAACACACAGAGGCCTGTCTCAAAAAGAAAAAAAAAAGGGAAAGAAAAATACCACAAGCGGGGGCTGGGGAGATAGCTCAGTAGAATAAGTGCTTGCCTGGCAAGCACAAGGGCCTGAGTTCAGTCCCTGGTTCTGCCCGCCCCCAAAAAAGAAAAAGAAAAAATGTATGTATATGTATGAGAAAAAAAGATATGGTGCATTTACTTTTTTTTTGCATTTACTTTTTTAAATTACGGCAAGACTCATCATATTTAATCCCCCTCAAAATACACTCCTTGCTTCAAACACTTACCATTTTTGCCACTTTCCAAAGCAGTTCTCAAAGTTCTCTTTCTTGCCTTTAGTTGCTTCGATATCCTGAGTCAATTCAGAATCTTTTTCTTTTGTGGTCATCTTGCCTTTGGAGAAGAGCCAGAAGTCAAACAGTGGTGGATCTTGTGAGCAGGGAGGCGAGGACATGGTGTGACGTCATTACAAATCTGCTGAGGGCTGGTGAGATAGCTCAGTGGTCTAAAGCACCTGCTTAGGCAAGCTTAGGCAGGCTCAGGGGACCAGTGTTCGGTCCCCAGCACCACATGCCACACCAGCGCCTCCCCCAGGTTGGGCTGAGCTGGCAAAAAACCCCGAAACACTGCTGTACCATGGGATGGCACTGGGCTGTGACACGCACAGTATTTTTTATCACATATTGTAAATACACATAAGAGGACTTCTAGACCTGCTTCAGGAAGTGGAAAGAACAATGAGACGTGTACGTGAAATAATGGTGTGTTTTTCATTTTGGTTTTGTGAGACAGAGTCCAGCCATGTAGCCAAGGTTGGCCTTGAACTTGGTGTGATCCTGTCTCAGCCTCCTCATTGCTGGGAGTGTGTGGGCCACCATACCAGATAAGTTGAGAATAATTAATCTGTGTCTTTTACTGTACTCTTTTTAAACTTAAACATTCAGGGAGCTGGGGAGAAAGCACAGGGTCCTGAGTTCAATCCCCGGTACAGAAAAAAAAATAAACATTCAGCATAGTTTTTGATCACTATATATAAATATCAGCTTTCACTGAGAAATGTTTTTGTTTTGTGTTTCCTGTTAAGACAGGATCTTGCTATGTTGCCTGGGCCATCCCTGAACTCACTAAATAGCTTAGGCTGACCTCACACTTGCAATCCTCCTGCCTCAGCCTCCTGAGTACTGGGATTACAGGTGTGCACCACAATGCCCAGGAGGTGACGCGTTAACCATACATACCTTGCAATCTCCCTGATCACTTCTCCCTCGCCTGTGAGCTGCGCAGACAGGACACTGTTGAGTCTGTGCAGCCTTCCACGCCATGTCTAGAACCGAGCACAAGCCACACTCCTCTGAGCCAGTGTCTCACATTTGCCAGTTAGGCTTCCGAGGTGCAAATCTTTGGTCCAATGAGGACAGTCACCTTGAGAAGAAGAAGAAGAAGAATTTGCCAGTTAGGCTTCCGAGGTGCAAATCTTTGGTCCAATGAGGACAGTCACCTTGAGGGTAATACACACAGTTGTCTAAACGCAACATCCATTCCCTCTTCTCCCTGATTTACCTCCAAACACACGTGTTCTCAGGCTCCCTTGAAGATAGGGGATCAGCTAGGGCTATAGCACCAAATGATGTCTGCTAGAATCTCCTAGGAAAGTTTTGAACTTCTGCCTTGAATTTAGATATGCATGGAGCTATGGCCTCCCTATAGTGACCACGAGGAAAAGACTAAGAAAATCAGAGTCTTCAGCAACAACAGCCTCAAGTCCCTGAATAGTATCAGCAACCCAGACCTATAGACACAGGTGAGAAAAATTGATGTTTAAATCCACGGTCAGATCTGCTGCTACTTGCAGGCAAAAAAGGCACTTGTAAGTGGTACATTTAGCCACATGACATTTGTCTCCCCTGCCAGGATGTAAGCTCCATGGTGGCAAGTACATGATTCTAGTCACCACCCAATATCCACCTGTTCCCCTCCCCACCCAGCAGGTGGATGCAAAGGGACTATGGCCAGCATTTCATCCAAAATGTGACATCACCTTCCTGTTGGATCGGCTAAAGTAACATACAGAAAGTGCCAAGTAAGCACTGTCAACAAAGCTAGCAGTGTCTCTACGAGGTCCAAGGGAATGGTGGAACACAGGAACTGGCAGAAGGCTCCCCAGAACAAGAGGATGGGAGGGTGAGGCAGCGGCTCGGCAGCAGGGACCCAGCGAGTTCCTGCAGCAGCCCAGCCCCTTCAGTTCTGCGTGGTCCTCCCAGTCTATGTAACAAGGACCACAGGGACCCAGCATCTTCTGTGTTCCCTCTTCTGCTAGTGGAAATAGTCTGCACTTAAAAGTGGTTCTATCTTTTTCAGCTGTAAGATAATTTTGACTCCATCTTGTTACGTATTATACTTAAAAAGAATCAAATGTTTTTTCTTTTGTTCCTAGGCGGGTTTTTTTTTTTGTTGTGGTGCCAGGGATCAAATTTGGGACCTTGCACTTGCCAGGCAGGCGCTCATGCGACTGAGCTATATCCCCAAGCCCGGTATCTGCAATTTTTTTTTTTTTTTTAAATTTTGAGACACCATCCTGCGTATTCCGTAAATTGCATAGGCTGGTCAGCCTCCCGCGGTGCTGGGACTACAGCCGCGTACCACCACAAGCAGCCCGTCATCTTCATTAATGTCTCTGCCTTAGAAGTCCCTCTCCCCAACTTCTTCAAAGACAAGACACACAAACCAGAGAATTCTGCATTTTATTTCTGCTCACAACCCAAAAAGGTTAAGCACCCCGCCACCTTCACAAGTGGGATTTTTCTCCAGCGCTAAAATGACCCCCACCCCCAGTCACCAACTACGACCATTCCCCTTCCCTACTGACCTCTACTTGCGGTTTCTCTGTGGACTTGGCTCCCTCCCCACACACAGATCTCCAACAACACTGGCCTGCTGCTTTTTCAGACATTACTTTGGTGCCTGCCTACCCTCCCTGACGTTGAGGATGACTTGCAGCCACTCTTGTGTGGCTTCCTGGTCCCAGGACCACCAGCGAGAAGGCGTTTGAAATTGGGGAGAGCAGGGCTCCCAGCTCGAGTTCCCAGCTGTGCTGGAGGGGTGCAGATGTTCACTAAGGCCGAACATCGCTGATTGGGATGGAAGGAGGATAAAATTCAAAAAGGTAAAAAATAGGAAGAAAACACAGGAGGGTCTACAAAGACAAGAAAGACCCGCCCACCCCAGCTCGAACGCAGCCGCCGAGGGCCCGCCCCGCCCGAGGCCCCGCCCACGCCCGAGGCCCCGCCCCTAGCTGCTGCGCGTGCGCTGGCTGCGCGCCTTGTACACCTCGATGAGCAAGTCCTTCACATACTGGATCTCCCGCTCCACCGACTCGGCCCGCTCCCTCAGCTCCCGGTTCCGCGCCTCCAGCCCCTGGCACTCGCCCTCCAAGGCCTCGCCCTCCGCCCGCTTCCTCTGGCGGTACCTCAGCGCCGCCGACTTGTTCTGGTCTCTCTTCTTCTGCTTGCGGTCCCCTCGGGCGGTGGTGGGGTACGGGGAGGGGCGCGCGGGCTGCGGCGCAGGGGGCTGCGGGGGGGCGGGCAGGGGTCCCAAGCCTAGGTCCCCCTGCCCAGCCTCGCCGCGGCAGTAGATGGCCAGCAGGTCGAGGGTGTCCAGGGCCGAGGGCTGGGGAAGGTCAAAGGTCGGCAGGGGGAGCGAGGGTGCTGGTGGCGGAGGCGGAGGCGGTGGTGGCGGTGGCTGCGACGGGGAGGGTGGCGGGAGGAGTGGGGCATCCAGGAAGAAGTCTTCCATCTGCTCCAGCTCCTTCTTGAGCAGGGAGGCCATGGCTTCCAGGTCAGGGGTGGGTGGGGAAGGTGGGGGGAGGGCACCAGGGGGCAGGGGCGGCTCCAGAGGGAGGAGGGCCGTGAAGTCCACTCGCTCAGTCATCCAATCGGAGAAGCCGTCACCTGGGGATCGCAGAGGGACACAGACAAAGAGCCCGGCTCACGTCCTTAATCAGAACTGCCAACCACTCAAACAATCGAGAATCATCAAGCCAGTCAACAAACCAGAAAAGGAACCAATGAACCAGTCAACTACTTGAACAACTTTATGGAGTACCCTTTCTCTGGCTCTCAGCCCCACACCGTACTAGGGGCCGAACCCAGGGCCTTTATTAAAACTTTTTAAGACAGGATCTTACCAAAATCAGTTGCCCAGTATGAGCTCAAATTTGTGACTCTTCTGCCTCAGCTTTCCGGAGTGCAGAAATGACAGCATGAACTACCATGCCTGGCTGTCATTACTCTATGATTCACTTCTGGTTTATCCTTTGGTTTACATGGGTTCGGTTTTCTGAGAAAAGCAGCACTGGGGATTGGACTTAGGGCCCTTCACTGAGCTATATATCCCTACACCTCCTCCCTTTACATTTTTTATTTTAAGACCAGGTCTTCTTTTTTTTTTTTTTTTTTTTTGCAGAACCGGGGATTGAACTCAGATCCTTGCACTTGCCAGGGAAGCGCTTATTCTACTGAGCCATCTCCCTGGCCCCATAGCATAATTTATTCTTAAAAGGCAAGCAAGACCAACACACAGTTTTTGGGGTTTTTTGCATAGCATAAATTGAACTCAGGACTTTGTGCTTGTCTGGTAGGCACTTAAGCCACTGAACTATATCCCCAGCCATCTTAGCTTTACATTTTGACAAGATCGCTATCTCCCAGGCCAGCCTTATATTCCTAAACTCAAGCATTCCTGAGCAGCTGGGCCTACAGGCACGTATCACCTGGCCCAGACACTCATTAGTTATTAACAGAACACTCAGGCATCTGGGATACAGCCATGAATGAAATCATCTCTGCCTCAGAATCTGCTGTGTTGCCTCCACCTGACACACGCTTCCTTTGGGTCTTTTCATTTCTTCTGTGTTACTTCCCAGTCCATGCTTGGAGGTTTCCTTCTGAAACTCAAGCTCCTTTTGCCACTTACCTTAGCATGGCATCTTTAGCCTCCTGCCTGTCTGCCCCCTGCTCTGCACTCCAGCAAACATCATACTAATTCCCAGCTATACGCCCAGCTCCTGAGCAATGCCTGGCACACTGTAGGCACTCAATATTTATCAACTGAAACAGTATATGAGTGGATTCTCTTCCCCTCTTCCCTTGCCCTCCAACGCTGGCTCACCCCACCAGCCCTTACCTGCCAGGGGCTCTCCCCCCCCTGGGAGCCCGCCCTCCAGGGCTCCTCCAAGGACCTCATAGGGGCCCAGGGGGGCAGGGGCCAGGGGGAGTTTCCCATAGTCTACAAGCCATCCCAGCCCGCTAGCTGGGAGCAGGCCCTTGTCCAGCTCGAGCCCCAGGGTCGCCAGGAGTGACATGGCTAAGGCACAGGCACTGGGGACTGATGGCAAAGGCAGCTGCACTGATGGCAGGAAAGAGGCTTCGGAGGTTGCTCAGCTGGATGGAGATGGGCACGAAGGTGGAAGACCTGTGTGTGGGAGATGAGTGAGGGGTGGGTCAGAGGCTGGCCTCACCCACCAGCAAGTCACATGCTCTGCCCCCTTTCCACCCCTTCCCCCAGTCGTGTTTGCTCAAGTCCTAAATCGTCCCTTTTCCCAAGTTTGGGAGACCTACCCATTCCCAAGGGAATTCTTTTCCAAGAGCAATACAGAACCCCAACGTTTCCCCCCCAGGGAATTACCTCAAACCCCCACCCACCTCATATTCCTCTTCATTAAAAAAACAATCCTCAGCCAGATGTAGTGGAGAACACCTGTAATCCCAGCACATGGGAGGCTGAGGCAGGAAGATCGTTTGGAGTTCAAGACCAGCCTGGGCTACAAAGTGCTCAAGGCCGGCCTGAACCACATAGAGAGACCAAAAAAAAAACCAGGGGAATGTTTCTCCAGCCATCAGACTTCCTCTAAAATAATTCCTTTAGGCCCCACTCCCCTCCTAGACTGCAATTCCGGTCAGTTCCCAAGGGCTTCCCCAAGGCCTGGCTCCCCACTGTTACCACCCAAATCCCCACTAGGCCCCATCTCCTTGCCTGGCCAAAGTCACGCCCCCTCACGTAGTGCCTGTTTGGGCCCCACCCCGCCTCACAATGGGGGGGTCCCCTCCACCCTTACTCTCCCTGCGTTCTGCTTCGCTGTGGTCCAGGCTCCACGTGCTCTTTTTGCTTTTTTTTACAATACTGTGGGTTGAACCCGAGGCCTTTAGTGAGATACATCCTTAGCCTTTTTTTTTTTTTTTTTTTTTTAAATTTTGAGACGGTGGAAGGGTCTCCCTAAACTGCCCAAACGGCTTGAACTTGCGATCCTCCCGCCTCCGCCTCCTAGAGTTCTGTCCACCCACCTACTAAGCTGCTTCTAAGCTCCGCCTCCCGCCCTATCAATCTAAGCCAGTCCCCGCCTCAGGAGGTGCCGAACTGAATTGGAGGGAAGCTGGGTTCGTGAACCGCAGCCCTAGTGGAGCCAAGAGGGTGAAAAGGCCAGCTGGACAACCGAAAAACGGCTATATCCACCCCCACCCTTCCCAGCTGCTCCCTCGCCGAGCACCAGGGCACAAACTTTAACCGTGGCTCCCGCCATTATTTGCTCAGGCGCGGGGTGTCAATGCGCATGTGCGCAGACTTCGGCCCACTCCCTCACACAGAATACCAGCTCTAGCCGGCTGAGAGGCTAGAACGGGGGGGGGTCGTTGATAGTGCGCAGGCGCGGCCTCACGCGGCCCCGTTTTACAACGTAACTCCGGAAGAACGCGCCCTCCCGCAGTACGCATGCTCAGTTGCGCGCTGACGGCCCATTTTCTTTCTTCTGCGCCTGCGCGACCGTGATTCCAAGCTTACGTCTCCCTACCCCCAAGCCGGGCCTCGAGGACCGCGAGCTACGAAAGGGCGGGAAAAGCGGTTGGAAAGTGAGAGGCGAACGGTTACTTACTCCATGGCTGAGGAAAAGAGAGGCGGCAGCGGCGGCCTCGGTTGAAGAAACGAGTCGAGAGCGAAGGCGCGGTGAGCGCGGAGACGGGCCGGGGTCACAGAGGGGTGGCGACTACAAAGCCATGGCCGACCGTGCGCGGGCGGAGGCGGCGTAGCGACAGTCTAACGAGAGGCCGTGATCTGAGGATGGGGAATGAGGCGGCCCCGGGGATTGGGGACAGATATACGGGGCGTGGGGCCGCACGACCCGCCCGGATCCTTCCGCGCCCCGCCCCCGCGTGGCCTCCACCGGGAGGGGCGGCCTGCCCTAGTGGGGATCTGCGCCTCCGAACCCCTCCCCCTAACGACCCCTAGGGGTCTGGCGTTTCAGAACTGGGAGCCGGCCTCCGGCGCTTTACGAACCTGAACCTTTGCCTTCTGCGACCCGGAGGGCCGGGCTCCCACTCTTTCTGGTTGTGGGGATAACGACTCCATCCTCTCCCCGCGGACCCGCACCAGTGTGCTTCTCATTTCTTTCATTTGTCCTCTAACCGCCATCCCATCTCGAAAACTCTCGTGAGGTAGTTTGACGGGAGCCCCAGACCTCTCAGGATTCAAATCCTAGAACTGCCAGGGTAGCCTTGGACAAATTAACTTTGTTCAGGCTTTAGTTCCCTTTTTGTAAATGAGGGGGGAAAAATCAACTCAATTTGGTGCAGATTTTTATGAAAATCAAAATAGACTGTGCCCTCGAAGATCTGAGCACAAAAGTGGTCTGTTTAGTGTATTTATAGGAAATCTGGGGCCCTCGCTCACCTCTTCCCACACCCTGAAAGCGCCTCAGCCATTCAACCCTTGTGGCCCACCAAGGTTTCACTTTCCAGCCATCCTGCTGTCCCTGCTGTTCTCCCCACGGATTCGGTCTTTTCTGCAGCCCCTGCCTATTGCCCCTGACTTCTTTCAGTCCTCAGCCTCTGCTGCTCCCCCAAAAGGAAGATGTTTCCATTCAGTTGTGGGGTGTTTTTTTGTTTTTTTGGGGGGGTTTGTGGAACCGGGGATTGAACTCAGGCCCTTGTGCTTGCCAGGAAAGTGCTTATTCCACTGAGCCATCTCCCTGGCCCGATGTTTCCATTCAGTAAAGAAAAAAAAACTTGATGGTCATTTTGCCCCTCTTGTGCTCTGTGGCCTCTTCACCCACGGGCTTTGCTCTGTTGCAGAAACCCCGCCCCTTCATTCATCTGCATCAGGACGTCCCACCTGGAGTCCAGTGGCTCTTCCCTCCAGTTAGGCTGAAGCAAGACCCAGAGAAGGGTGGGCAAACCCCTATGAGTTATACACAGGCTTCTCCCCTAGCCCCACCCAGTTGCGTGCAGGAAGTCCTTAGGATCTGAGCATCCTCCTTTACAGGACTTACTGTTTATCCTGCCAATATTTGAGCAAGTGCTGTTTATCTCCTCGCTGTGTAGGGGCTTCGTTGTAACCAGGCAGGCCCTTATGCTACTGAGCTATATCCCCAGCCTTGCTGCATTGTAACCTAGACAATCTAAAGTAGAAGTTAAGAACACAGATTCTGGAGCCCCAGGGTATTTGGGTCCAAACCCTGACTTGCTTGTGGCCCTGGCATTCTCCCTTTCTTGTGCCTCTGTTTCCTCTGTGGCAAAAGATGACTTTCACAGTAAGCTACCCCTTAAAGCTGTTTTCAGGATGAAATAGGTTAATCCATGTCAAACATGTGGCTTGCACATGGATGGTAGGAGCAGTTTAAGGGGCAGTTGTTACTTAGGAGGATGTGCTCTGTCTCCGTGGTTGTGTAGTAAGTGCTCCAAAACCTTCCAGAGGGGACATGAGCTTAACTTCTTCCAGTTCTCAGAATAGGTACTGGGTGCAGAGCAATGTCAGGTGGGATTGAGGCTAGGCTGATGAAAGGCTGCCAGAGGTGGTCCACCCATAGGGTCTTCTGAGAAGACATTTAAGGTTTTACATGAGGACTAGGGTTCCTCATTTGTTATGGAACAGGCTATCACTGTGTTGGTGGTCTGAAACTGGGCTGAAGTGATCCTTCTGGCCCAGCCTTTCATGTGGCTAGGACCTCAGGTATACACAGCCACACCCAGTTTAAGCTTTTTTGTATGTTGTGCTAGGGATTGAACATAAGACCTTGAGCATGCTAGGTAAACCCTGAAGTTTACCTCTAGCCTGTGGATGTCTTACTTATTTTGGGGTTTTTGAGACAGGATATCTCTGTGTAGCCCAGGCTGGCCTAAAACTCAACAGCAATTCTTTTTTCCTCAGCCTCCCAGTGCTGGGGCTATAGACATACGCCATAGATTTTTTTTTATAATGAACTTTTATTTTAAAATAATTTTAGATTTTAAAGGACTGAGTGAAATGTAGCTTAGTGCTTGGGTTCAAGCTCTGGTACCCCCTACCCACACACAGACACATGCAGAGAACACCTTGCTGCCCCTCACCCATTTTTCCCTGTTGTTAACATCTTTTTTTTTTTTTAAGATATTTATTGGGGGCTGGGGAGCTAGCTCAGTGGAATAAGGGCTTGCCTGGCAAGTGCAGAGGCCTGAGTTCGATCCCCAGTTGCGCTAAATAAATGAATGAATGATATTTATTCGGGGAAAGAAAGCTTCTGTCTGAGAGAACAGAAGGGGGGCGCTGAGCGGTTTGTCCCCTCAGTTGTTAATATCTTAATTACTGTGAGATTGATTTGTCACTAAGGAACCACACAAGCACATTACTGTTGTCTGTACTCCATACATCCTTATTTTGGTAGTAGCACCTTCCTTTTCGATTCCAGGGACCATAATCTCTTTCTGTATCATCATTCTTACCCTCTCCTGCTCCTCGGTACTTTCACATTTTGTCTTTCGTGTCCTTGAAGAATGCTGGCTGGATGTTTTATGGAGTGTGCTTTAATTTGGTTTTATTTCAGGTTGGATTTGAGTGTTTTGAGAGGTAGGACATTTTCTGGTATCTAGGAATGAACTGGCCTAGTCAGAAAATCCTATCACTGGCTGTATGTGGCATATGCTAACTGAGAGGACATCATGCAGGGATTCCAGTACCTCTGTCTTGGACCCTTGTGTCCCACTTTTCTCTGTCATTTGGACCCTACCCACTTGAGCCCTGCCCTCCTAAGCAATTCAGCTCAGTCCCGAATGGATACTGATTCACACACTTAGATACCCGGCCCTTCTCAGCATTTATGGTGGCCAGTCATCTGTGACTACCGCGGCTTGATGCCCTGCAGCCTTGCAAGTACCCATTCCTGGCAGGCTGGTGACTTAGCCATTCTGCAGGTGCCTTGGGCTATCCCAGCTTTGCAAAGTCCTTAGGCCCCTGTACCCAGCCTCTTCAACCCCTCAGGTGGGGTGGAGCTGGTGGGGACTCTTTTTTCATTGCGGAGGGGCCTGGCTTATGGTGTAAGGTGGCAGTTGCAGGCAGATTGCATCAGCCTTAGCTCTTGGATGGGGAGGGGGAGTGAGGGAATTCCCCGAGGGCCTTGGCACACCTGGCAACCTCTCCTGGGTAGCAGAGCCTTGGCTAAGGAAGAGGCCTCAGCACAGGGGCAAAGGTGGAAGAAGGACTGGACCCAGATGCCTGTGCAGAACCCTAAGAACCTAGGACTTTATGCCAGGAAGAGACCCCACCTACAAAAACCCCCAGCCTGGCTCACAGGAGAAAAAGTTTTGAGAGGTGAAAGGGGTTGTGCAGAATCACATGGCTCATTAGGAAGAGTCCGGGTCTTGTGACCCTGCACAACTTCCAGGGCTTCTAGAGCTCTCCAAGGGTCTGCTGCTGCTCACCGTTGGCAGATTCCATTGATCCCGACCTCTTGCCATCCCCTTAGCCACAGAGGAGGCCCTCCTCACCTGCACTATTGTGGCAACCTTTTGATGGTTTCCCAATCAAGATAGCAGCCTGATGTGATGGAAAAGGCTCTGCACTTTGCATCAAATATGTCCAGGTCTCTGTCCTGAGCCCACAGCACTTAATTGTGGTCAAACTTCCAGGCAACAGCCTCAAGTACGTTGTAGAAAGGGGCTCATATTAGGACAGCACCACTACTATGTCCCTTGACAAATGGCGTCATCTCTGATTCATGAGTGTGGGCTCACGGGATCCCCTGTGTAGGGTAGTGGTGAGAATTAAGTAGGTTGATGGAGGTGTAGTGCGCAGAGCAGGGCCCAGCTGGAGGGAGGCACCCTGTGAACATTTTCACTCTCTGAAGTCTTGGCACACCAGAGGGGAAAGGAAATGACATAGGTAAGTCCCCGCTCCTTTTAGGAGCACAAGATCTGCCCAGTTCATTCTGCCTCCCCTTCCTTTGCAGTTGAGGCTGCTCTCAGTTTCCTCACAAACTGATGCCTGTGTACGACATTTTTGTTTCCCAAGGGCCTAGAGGTAGGGTCCTGACCTTCCTCATTCCCAGAAATTTCCCCTCAGCCCCCAGCCTGTTCTGCTATCTGTGTGGGCAGCACTACATTATTTAATGAATAGTTTGTAGAGGAGGGGAGACTGATACCATGGTCCCTGAACAGTGGCGGGGGTAGCTGAGTCACGTAGGCCAGGGGCAGGGGGTGGGAGTGGGTGTCTAGACAAACAAAGGCAGCAAGGCCAAGGCCAGCTCAGCTGGAGAAGCACAGTGCAGGAGCTGAGCAGGCAGCACCTAGGCTGCCACACGCAGGCTGCCACGTGGCCCAGGGGCTCAGAGTCCTCCTGGCCCCTCCTCTGCCCTCAGGCCACCTTGTCCCCCTGGGCCAGAGCAGTCACAGCTCTCAGAGCCTGGTTAGGCCCTGTGGCCCTGCATCTTGGGTGCTCTTCCTAGTGTCATGTCACTACTGTGACAAGTTAGTACAAACTTAATGGCTCAGGACAAGCCTCATTTACTGTCTGCTAGTCCTAGAGCAGAGATCTGTTTTCCTTCTGGAGGCTGCAGAGGAGAATCTGTTTCCTGGCCTTGCCAGGTTCTGGGTGCTAGCTTGTTCTTTGGCTCATGGCCCCTTCCTCCTGTCACTCCAGCTTCTTCTGTATCACATCTCCTCCTTTCTTCTAGGATCTCTTCATCATCTATCTTATAAGTCACCCTTAA